TTTTTTTTGGTTCATATTTTATCCTTTTTGATTATAATAAGTACGGAATAAAAGTAAATAATAAGAAAATTAAAGAATAAAATAGAAAATGTAATAAAATAAGTAAAAATAACAGTAAAAAAAATAATATAAGTAGGAAACGAAAAAAAGTAGATATACTCGTACATAATAACGTTATTTGTCAAAATGGAGAAAAAATCTTTTTAGGTCCTAAGAGTGTTTTCGTGTAATTCTTTTAAGACGTATTTAAACATCTTCTTTAGGTTATTATTACTTGTATAAGTCTAATGTATGTCCACACATGCGTGTATACATACGTACATAATTATTACTATTTATAATGTTAGTATGAATTTATTTATATGTATTATGTATGGATACCATCTTATTTTATATTTAAGTATACACAGTATGCTTGAAAAATTGCAAGGCAATTTTAATTTTTTTTTGTAAAAACTGAGCTTATTTTCACTATAAAAATCTAATTAACAAGTTGTCATAAACATATTATATATTTTATTTTAATGTAAACAATAGAAAATATATTTTACAATAATTTTATATACCTAGATATTTTACACAATGTGTTGCCTACCCTATATTCGTATCTAATGTAGTCAATAAATTTGAATTATAAAGTTTATGATTAGATATGTATGTACATTTGTATTAGCTATGTGGATAAAACTACAGATGTATACTCGAAACTTTTTAACTCATTTTTCCTATCCCTTTCTTTTTGTTACTAAATCTGTGAATTTATGGAATACACTATTTGTGAAATAAAGCATATGTATGTAGAAGGGATTTATTATTATTATGATGTATAGAGATAGCCTAATATTGTAGCAACTGTCACATTCCATTTCCATTTCTAGTTTTGTTTGTTATAAATAATTTTTGGGATTAGTAAGCAAATGGGAAAAAAAAGTAAAAAACCGACATTATGTACAAGAAATGTGTAGTTCCGTTAATTGCGTTCACAAATAATATTCGTAACATATTATATATATATATATTATTTGTATATATATATACACATATAGCATGTATACACAAACAACTATTACTTTTATTACTATTATTTATTAATTTTAATGGGAAATAAAATCAGTTCTATTACATTATGGTTGTCAGTTAATATTCTAAGTGTTTTGAAATTTACTTATTTTATTTTATTCATTAAGTTTGTTGTTTATAATTAATTAGAAAATGAATGAATGAGTGAATTAGTTGAGTTGTTGTTTCCTTCTTCCTCTAATAGCTTTTATAAGTATACTAAGTAACTTTTTAGTTCAATTCTTATTTATTTTTATTTCTTATAGTTAAAATTTAATTATAGTTGTCGAATGACAAGGTACAACTTTTTTATATGTATTTATTTTATAAATTAAATTAAAATTGACACAATATAAAATACATAGAAAGATTATGTTTTTAATTGACTTAAAATGAGAGTGCGTATATGTATGTAGAAATGTTTTAATTCATTTTTATTCAATAACCCTGAATACAAAAATATAGGCATGCATATAGGTTACGTGTTGTATAAAGTCTTATATTATACAATAAAAAAATCATTTGCAATACAATCACTCTAATTAAAATGATTTTGTAGGAAATTTAGCTGATAGTATGGTAAATGTTAAGTGCTCTATTGGTAATAAACTGTTTATAGAGATTTAAAATCCTGAACATTTATGTTTTTCTCGTCATTTTTATTTTATTATACCGAATATTAATACTACAAGTATTTGAAATGGTAATTATTTATTTCAGTAGAAAATTCTGGGATTATTTAATTTTTGTATAACATTTTGTATAGTTTACAGTAGTCACCAACTATATAAATTTTAATACTTGAAAAGTTCATATATTTATACCGACACAGTCTTTACAATAACCATAACTGAATTATATTACAAAATAGATAAAGAGGAATGATATGGAGCGATGGTGTGCACAGAATGAAGTAAAACTACCCATTGTAAACATTCACTTTTTATTCCAAACAAAAATCTTATGTGAGAACAACAAACCATTTAAAAGTTCTAAAATATATTTAACTGAAACACTGAAAAACTGGTTGAAATTCAGTTTGTGAAATTTCGGATAAAATAATTTCTGTTTAGAACTTTTCTTTGTAGAATTTTTTTCCTTTCTTATTTTTTAATATTTTTCTTTAATAATCAATTGATTATATCGAAATATTTATATACATACGTTATACCGTCTTATGCTTCATTCAATCCGTTAAATTATGTTTTTTCCCATTCAATTGATCCCAGTTAAACCTTCGAAAAATAATTTTTTTTATAGGTTATAGATACACATGTAAAAGTTATACGCTAGTTAAGGTTTCCAAATTTTCTAAAAAATAAATTTCTTTTTTTTTGACCACAAACGTGAACATAACGAAATGTAGGAAAAAAGTTTCCATTTTACCAAAATACCAATAACAAAAAGGGAAATTATCCTTCAAACACGTTTTTATGCCCCTATAATTTTCTTGCGTTCTCTATTACCCAATTCAAGCAATCACATAAAAGTTAAACCATATTACGTTTTGTAACAAAAAAAACAGTTACCAAGAAGTAGAAAACTGCCTATAATTTCGTAAATCCTTAAACATAAATTATAAAAAAAATTACACCGTATAAAAGGATTTTCAAAGAAAAAAAAAATTATAAAACCATAATAAGTCCATTCTGTCCGTCAGATTGTCCCGAAATATCAAAAAAAAAATTAAAAGTAAAATAAAATTTTCGAAATACCCGGACCGTATCAATTCTTGATTTTTATTTTTGTGCTTCTTTTTTTTCATCTGGAATCCTTTCGTATTTATACTAAATATCGTTTTAACTATTTTACCAATATATCATAACTCAAATATCTACCTATATATTGATATACGAAATAAAATGTTGATATAAACATTCGAAAATAGTGAGGTTAGGAAAGGGTAAAAGAAGAAAAATAAAAACGACTTCCATTAACAAGCTAACTGATGCCATTTCAAACTGATGACCGTACATGTAAAAGCTCTTAACATTTTCGTCCTCCACTTATTTTTTTGCTTTATTTTTTTTGTTTTGCTGGATTATATCTGATGCTAGATATTAATTTTGGCTTTTTTTTCCTTTTTATATAAGTTGAAAGGACATTTCTAGTGCATATATGTGTAAAATTTTTTTTCCATTTTTATAGTTTATTTTTTATTCTAGTGGCAGGTTGTATGTTATAGAATTGAATACGGAAAAAAAAAATTTTTTCATGAAATGGAAACGTGACGGTTGATTGATGCGTAGGTACGTCCCACACTAATTATCAAATCATTTGCCTTAAATTTTGTACAATTACGAATCTTATGTATTAAAAGCCTAGACTGAAATATTGTACCTTTATTGGTTATTGAATACTATTGGGTCATAATTGATAATTTCATTTAGTTTAAGAAATTTTGCAATGAAAATATTCAAAAAATGTTGATAATGTGTGTAAATTTTTATTCAGTAAAATTGAGAAAATTAAACTGCTTGTACATGCCGGAGCGCAAAATTTGTGGCATATATGTCTGTAAATTAATTTTTTATAAGCTATATGCAAAATTTCAATTGTTCACATGACGTTCTCTATACGAAGGACCAGCTTTTAAGAAAAACGATGAAAATTATTAAAATTTTAGCTAATTCTCATTATGTTCCCATATTAAATGGGATTTTTAATTAATATATTGACTTGAACTTCAAGATAATATCCTTACTTATTACTTTTACAAAAAATGGAGACAGAATGTGCTTAAGTTAGAATTAAATTCGAGTTTAAACACTCTTTCTGAATATTTAAATCCTCAAGTTTACAGATTTTTACTTTCACTTGAATATCTTTAATTCGTTTTGGATCTGATAAAGCCAAATTTTGCTATGCTAAAGATTCGTCAATTTTTCATTGATTGACTTTATTTGCCGGTAAAAGGAATTTTGTCTTAATAAAATTATTTTGAGAAGTTTAACTTATCAAAAAATACAACTTTTGCCTTTAAATTGGTTGGCAGTCTAACCAAAAATTGAGCTAAATAAAACTAAAATAAAACTTTTTTCGTAAAACTATTTATTTGAACGAAAAAAATTATGAAATCATTTTAAAGGACACTTAAAATGAACGTTCAATAAAACTAAGATAAAATTTTATAATTTATTTATGTATGTATAAGTAGCTTACCTATTTTGTAGTTGTGGCAAAAAATTTGGAAATATAAAAATTTTTTTTATTTTGACATTTTTATCATATATGTTATATTTGTATGTGCTTATCATTTTTGGTTAACTTTTAGTAACATTTGGAATAAAAATTATTAAAATACACAAGGAAAAAAAATAAAATAGGAAATGGAACATGCATTGAATATTTTATTAAATTTTAGTCATAAACCATAAAGTTTATTGTACAAAAAAAAAATGAAGGGGGGTTGTTTTTAAGAGATAGCAGTTGGCCTTTTCGGTATTAGTGATCTTATATAATAAAAAAATATTAATTTTTCATATTTATTTTATGAATTTTGTTGGAAAGGGTTCAATTGTATTTAATTTATATTATAACGGTGCTTTTATATGAATTTTTTAAATACCAAGACAAAATAAAATTAATGTATGTATATGATTTGTCGAAATCTATTCCTTGTACTCACAAAATTTGAGTAAGTACAAAAATTTTTGTATCAACCTGTTTTTCTGTAAAATTTTTTAAAAATTACTTAATAAGTTTAATAATTAATAGTTCACCTGTTAATTATTATTTTAGCCGTCAATTAAAATTTTATCTAAAAAATTTCCCATACATTTGATTTGAAATTTATTTGAATAACATTCAAAATTTTTATTGTTTTAAAACCTTTTACATTTATGTGTATAGTAGAACCCTCCGAGAATTACAACTTTATTCTTCATAATTATTGATAATTAAATTCTGTATATTAAGGTAGATTTTAAAGATTTAAAAATGTAGAAAATTATTTATAGGAATTCAAATATTTTCGAAATGAATTTGAAATTTTTACCCATATTTAACTTTATTTTTTGGAAACATAAGAATTAGAAAAATATTTATTTAATTTTACTAAAAAATATTGATTACCTGCATTTAAAAAAAGATATTGTTTGTATTATTTCAGTTTCCTCTTACCTGAAAAGAAAATTTCAAATTAATTTTTTTTTTATTTATTTATAAATCAAAAGAAAATTAGAACTCATAAGGAAACTTAACAACTACAGGCACTCTATATTCAATTGTATTTTGTACTTAATAATATTTTTAAGCAACTTGAAAAGATGTAAGGTTTCTTAAACTCTCTTGAAAATATAATATTCAATTAACCAACTCGAAAATTATGAAAATAATAAGTGACTTTGGTAAAACCAATGTGGTATATTGTATAATATATGATATTCCACTGATTCCAGTTACCAACAAATGATATTCAATATCTTTTAAGTTGCATACAATATTTTTTTTATATATTTCTGACAGAGGTGTCAACCAAACGTCTATCGCATTATGAAATAAAATATGTTTCAACAGTGGTCGAAGTGGGATACTCAAAGTGGTGGGATGGTAAAACAAAAAAAAATTAAAAAAAAAGTATTATTTTAGTTATTTTTTAAAAAAATAACTAAACAAAATTTACCAAACTTTGGAAGTAATCTAACGAGAATATTTATATTCAAAATTAAATCAACTAAAAATTGAATCAAAAACTGTGCAAATTGTTACCAAAGAAATGCATAGAAATTTTCGTTACGAGTACTATATAGTAGTAACGAAAATTTCATTAATAGAATTAAAAATTTTCTTAAATTTTAAAAAACATGTTCCGGAATGCATTTTGCTCTCCTATTAAGTAGTAGGATGGATTTCCAATTATTTAAAAGTAGTGGGATGTCATCCCACTCCATCCCGCCTCACTTCGAGCTCTGGTTTCAACCCAAAATAATTGGTGATCAAAATTGTTTTAGTAAAAATTAGTTTGTTTATTATATTCTTAATAATATTTTTGTTATTATTATTCGAAAACGAGGAAATTGCTATAAGAAAACATGGTCCTTGTGGAAGTGAATTTGAAACATTTTTTTTGCATTTTAATTCAAAATATGCAATATAATCTAAAGTATAGTTTTGAGAAAATAATAAAATTTACCTCAAAAACTTAAATATTTACCAAAAATTTTTTAACCAAATATTCAATTATAGACTCATAAAATATTCAAATAAAAATAAATTTTTCTGAAATTTGAATTATATTAATATTTTAACTACGTAGCATATGTACAATATGTACGTATTATCTAATACGTATGTATGTGTGTATGAATTTTTCAAATAACTTTTGAAGTTTAATCCTTTCGACCTGGCTTCCGAATAGTGTAATTAGCAGATGTTTCACATGTGGGATCTATTATCTTTATATAAAACAAAATGTTAGAATTTAGTGTGCCGAATCATGTGAAAACGAAATGGGTACAACAGAGAACCAAAACATTGCCACTTTCAACTATGCGTATACCAGCCAGGTTTAAAGGTTTAAGAAATTCGGTATTGTAATTTGGAATTTCATAAGTCAAAAAATTTTTAAAGAATTCATTAAACTACACACATTATGTTTGCATGCTTGTATGTAGTATTTATATATTATAATTATATGAATGTATGCATATGTATGTATGTAGGTATAAAAATGTACAGACAAGTGTTTCACCTTATCAACATTTTAAATTAAAATTTTGAATCAAGAAAAACGAAGTGATAATGTAATGCATGTTTCATTGCTTAACCTGTGGAAATTCGTAATACTAAATTAAAATATAGCAAATTTTGTTTATATATGTACATATTTAAGTTTTAAGGGCTACATCTAATATAATATTCCTATAACAGCAAAATACATACATACATATGTACATAAATTGTAGGTTAAAATTATTACAAAAAATATTAAAGTTACCAATATTATGACAATTCCAAATATTCAGATCTCAATTGTATAAAAATTGAGATCTTATAAAAATTAAAATCTTAAAAAATTGAGGTTTTATAAAAATTGGTAACACAATTGAACGAAAAATCCAATAAAATATTTTTGACTTACCAAATTTATGACAACAAAAAAAATATTTAATTCCTGCTATGATTTATATTGGATTTTTTATTTGACTAAAATTTTCTATTTTTTTTTTAGAAATTTAAAATAAATTTTATTGTTTCTGAATACTAAGTAGAATCAATTCGGTAAGATTCCTGCTGAGATTTTAAAACCATATTCAAAGAAGAAAGGGATTTTAAATATCATTGGTGACACTATTGATATATTTAGGTTCCTATTTTAATAATACGGTCCAATGATTTCAAAAACATTTAGGTTTTAAGAAAACCGATGACAAATCATTTTTCTTTATATAAAAAAATTCGAATCTTAAAGTCTTATTTGACTTTCTAAAACTATAATGATTAATTCATGTTTTATTTAAAAATTTTTTTATTCAAACATACTCGTATAAAAAAAGAATGAAGGAATAGGAAAAGGATGAAGTAAATACCTAGAATTTCAGTCAAATAGTAAGAATTTGTAGTTAAAATTCTTTTCTTCAGTTTTGAATAGTTAATCAATTAAAAGTCTTAAATTCCTTTGTTGTTTTGTCATTGTTTTACATTGTTTAAGTTCAACCTTATTTGATTCTTTAATTTTGGTTGTTCCTTATAAATATGCAATGAAATGTGACTATATATATATGATTTTCTAAAAAGGTTTCTTCAAAATAATATTTACTCGTTTAAATCTTTTAAATATTTGTTGCTAACCCCTCGCTCTAATACAAAAAAAATGTATTTATCCGTCAGGACATGCAATGCAAGGGTTGCTATAAACCTTTTTTCAAAGCGCTTTTTTTCCAACGCTCATATTTTATTAACAAAATATAATTATTTCTCACACACGAATTCAACTATTAAAAGTGCTTGTTTATCCTTTAATCCGAAAGGTATGCAATAATATTAATTAATTTCTGCATTAAATATTTTTGTTGTATTGAAGAAAAGGAAGATGGTTTTTTTAAAACAATGCAAATATTTTCGATTTTTAAATGGAAATTATGGGAAATAACTAATGAAAATTTCTTCATACAACTGTAAAAAAGATGGATGACGCAATCAAAGGAACAAATCAAGGCAGAAAATTAAAAATTGCCGGCAAATTGTTCTTCACATTGATTTATACTGTAATCTACATGATTACTATAAGTATTGTTCACCTAAGAAGCTACATGCGCGATAGATTACTGCTTCGAGTCCAGTCCGAGAAGAAAAATTTTTTAGTTTTTCTACCTTGACTAGTTCCTTTAATTACGTAATGTTGATGTTGTTAGGGTAGTTATGTATGATGAAATTTCTCGACTACTTGTACTAGTTGCCATACAGTATTATAAGCTATTTGTTCATCGCGCAGAGGCTTTTAAAATTATAAAACTGAAATTTTTTATTAAAATTAAAATTATTTTCAATGAAACTCTTTTAGATTGCATGGGTTTATGTTATAATTATCATATATGCATAAAATAACACTAGACATAAAAACCTAGAAAACGTTGTATAAAACATTGTGCCAATTATCTCCGACATTTAAAATAATTTATTTCGTAATCAGTACGGTTATCACAGATTGAACACGGTCAACTATGTCTACGCTCGTTTTTTACTAAATTAGTTTTGTTCATTTTATTTTTGCAAAACTAAGCAACTTTGAATGTTAGTTGTGGAAATTTTTAAATAATTTATGTAAAAACTAAAGCTAAAAAAAATAAAATTTTTAAAACCTAACGCATTTTTTTAGATTCTATTAGAAATGTACGAAATTTCAAAAAAGTTTTTAACTCAAATGCGGTTTTTTATGGTTTACTTCTAATCCACCTTTAAATCATTTTTAGAAAAAAATAAGACATATAAGTAAAAACTGATTTTTTGAACCCAAAATGGAATAAAATTTGGATATACATACACACATTAGATACAAATATTGTAGTTCACAATTTCCACATAGTTCATAATATCACATTTTAACCTCAATTTCTAGTTGCTTTTTGATTTTGTTTTTTTTTTTCATTAATTATGTCGCGCCCTCTTTTATTCTATTTTCTTTTATTTAATATTTAGTTACCCTGCAGCGAGGTTCTTCCCATTTTATGTTTCTTACGATATGTTCTATCTTTGTGTTAAAAACGTGAATAATGACATTCTACTTGTCATTTACATAACAAAGTATTTACAAAAGATGACTTTTTAAAAGAAGAAAAGAATAAAGAAAATGAACATTGGCAAAACAAGAGAACCATAGTAATGGAATAAAAGGACTATAGGAAAGTGAAAAGTTAAATATCCTTTTTATTTTTTCTGATTTTTCTCTACTCAATTTTCTTATTTCGTTTAAAAAAAAAAACCTATTATGAATGTTTCGAGAAATTGCAAAGAAAAATAGATGCTGCAAAGTTGTGAAAATAAAGAAGAGAAAAGGAATCATTACTGTGGTAAGTACACACAAATACACAAATGTTATATAAAAAAAACGAAATATAAAGAGAAACATGTAAATGTAGAGTAAGCGAGTGTACGGTGCAAAAAAATTAAAAAATAATTTCAAAATGTTTTTTGAAGTAGATGGAGTGGTTTAAAAAAAGTTCACAAGAGCATGATTTCTTATGTACCTATGCCATATTATTATGTGATACAGAGATGTTAGAGTGTATGGTAAGATAAAAAATGAAAAAAAAAAATTTGTGAATATGATAAAGCAAAAGAAAAATAAAAGGAAAATCGCTAAAAAAAAATATTACTATGACTTTTCCTTTTAGCCTTTTAACCGCTTCTATACTTAGTTTTTCTTTTTTTGCAAATCTTTAATAATTGTGTTCGGAGTACATCTACGGTAAAAAGATAACAACTTTCCGGTTTTTTGTTTTTGTTACTTTTCATTCTATTTTAATTTTCCATTATTTTTTTTTTTTCTTTTTAATCCGTTACAGAAATGTTCCGCTTTTGCAAATCGTAATCTTTTCTCTTTTATATTTTTTTCCCTCTTTGATTTTAATGTTTTTAACACTTGATCTGTTTAAAATTTCACTGGTATTACAGCTTGAACT